TCTATCTCTCTCCCTTCCTCTCTGTAAAAAATCAATAAAATATATTTAAAAAAAAAGAAATAGATTTTAAAAATTATTTTTTGTGTTATCTTTTTATTTGTCTATTTATTTTATATATTTTTATTTTTTATTTCTTTTGTTCTTAACCACTCATTCTCTTTCTACCTTTTCTATGCTGAAGCGTGTTCTTTCCCTTATTAATTCAATAACCTAACCTTACTTTCTGTATATAAGTTCTGCTTCTACAGATTCTGTCCCCCCCATTTTTTTCTGGGTGTTTTTGTTTGCATTTTTTGGTTTATCAATTTGTTTAGTGGTGTTTTCTCCCCATATATTTTTTCTTCCCTTTTCTTCTTTTTCTTTTCCCTCTTACCCTTTTACTTTTCTTGATATAATTTTAGCTTTTTTTTTTGCTCTCCTAATTCTCTTTTCTCTGGTGGTCACTTTTATTGAAGTTATCAGTGACATGAGTACATGCGTGTTTTGTTCTCTCTGTGTTGTGTCTTATCGAGTTGTATTTCATACTGTTTGGTCAATGTGGTAGATAGCAAGCCATATAACCAGACACCCTGAGAGGAGGCTCCATCCACAAATAAGACAATAACACTCAAGACCCAACTACACCAAGAGAATCCAAAATATCCCAAGTGGGGGGCATCCCTAGAATACTGAGCCCAGACCTAAGAGATTGCACCACTGGATCCCACAAAAAATCTATAACACAAACTCAAAAAATCTGGGAGGCATAGCAGTTTGATCTAATACATAGAAACAATCACAAAGGAACAGCAAAAGAGGGGAGACAAAGAAAAAAATTAATTTGAAAGAAAAGGAGGAATCAACAGAAAAGGAAATAAATGAAATGAAGGCAAGTAATTTGTCACAGAAAGAATTCAGAGCAATAGTTATAAGGATGCTAAACAAGATGGAATTCAAATTTCACAACATGTGTAAGGATTAAGAGGAAATGAAGAAGAATCAAAAGGAAATGAAGAATGACATAACTGCAATAAAGAACACAATGGAAATTTTAAAAGTAGACTAAAGAAGCTACTGACTGCATCAGTGAGTTAAGAGAGAAGGTAAAAAAAAAAACAAAAAACACCAAAGCAGAGCAGCAACTGGAAAAAAACCCCAAATTTTAAAAGCAGGGGGAGAGCCTAAGGGAGCATTGAGACAACACAAAATGAAAGACTATCTACATAAAAGGGGTACCAGAGGGAGAGGAAGCTGAACAAGGAATAGAAAACCTGTATGAAGATATAATGACAGAAAACTTCCCTGATTTGGGGAAGAAAAAAGCCACACAAGTCCAAGAAGCACACGGAGTCCCAAACAAGATGAACCCAAAAAGACCGACACCAAGACACATTGTAATTAATTTGGCAAATATCAAGTACAAAATAAGAATTTTAAATGTTGCCAGAGAGGGACAGAAAGTTACCTACAAAGCATTTCCCATTAGACTATCAACTGATTTCTCAACAGAAGCACGCCAGGCCAGAAGGGAATTGAATGAAACATACAAAGTGATGCAAAGCAAGGAATCAAATCCAAGAATACTATAACCAGTAAGGCTATCATTCAAAATTGATGGTGAAGTCCAGACTTCACAGCCAAAAAAGGCTAAGGGAGTTTGTTACCACCAAGCCAACAATGAAGGAAATGTTAAAGGGACTGCTGTAAATAGAGAAATGGAAAGGGAAGAAGGAAGACAGGCATAAAGAATAAAATGGCAACAAACAAAGACCTTTCAATAATAACCTTAGATGTGAGAACCAAGATGGCGGCATAAGTTACAGACCTGTGCATGCTGTCTCCCACAACAACATCGAGACTACCAACTATAAAAGAAACAGTTGTCATTCAGAACCATGGGAAAGCTGGCCCAGTGGAAGCTCTACAACTGGAAGGAAAGAAAGAAGAGCATTGAGACTGAGTAGGTTGTGCAGAGGCTCCAAGAACGGAGGTACGGAATTGCACACCAGACTGGCTGCAACTGGATGTGCAGTTTTTTTCAATCAGAAGGGGATGTGGACTCTCAAATCCACTGAGTGTGTTTGGGGCGGGATACTAAGGCTCCAGACCCCTATGGGGAGAAGCGGGATAGCCTTGCAATGACCCAGAGAGCGAGAGTGGCTGTCTCGCAGAACTGCTCGCTGGCACTCGGGGATGCGAGTCCCTGAGTTGCGGAGAGGCGAGTAGATGCAGAGACGCCATTGCCCTTGGCCCTGCCCTGGTGAGTCACGAGGAGTTGAGGGGCGGAGTTGCACGCCAGGCTGGCTGCAACTGGATGCGAAGTTTCTTTCAACCAGAAGGGGATGCAGACTATCAAATCCACTGAGTGTGTTTGGGGAGGGATACTAAGGTCCCAGACCCCTACGGGGAGAAGTGGGACGGCCTTGCAATGACACAGAGAGCGAGAGTGGCTGTCTCACGGAACTGCTCACCGGCACTCGGGGACTCGAGTCGCTGAGTCGCGGAGAGGCGAGTAGACGTGAAGATGCCATTACCCTTGGCCCCGCCCTGGTGATTCCCAGGGATCCCGCCCTACTCAAATTATATCCCCATCCAAGCTGTGCTAGTGACACAAAGAGAACCACCGACGCTTTTGCAGCCCAGCCCAGCAGAATGCAGATTTCAACTCCTTGCATACATAAGGGACAAAATAAAGAAGCAGAATCAGGTTCTGAGGAAGCCGGAGCCGGACACGGCTGGGCCGGCGATGTGGAACTGCTGTACCAGCAAATGCACAGGCAGGCCCACCAGATCCAGTCTCACATGGGACGCTGGGTGATGGCAGACAGGCAGTCTGTGCGCTTGGTAGAAAACGAAATCCAAGCAAGCATACCAGATATTCAGCCATCAGGAAAGCCTGGAGATTTTGTCCAGCAAGGAGCCGCCCAACAAAAGACAGAATGCCAAACTTCGTGTTCCTGAGACAGCCCCCGTGAGGCTGAGGTGGCCCCTGTAGGGCCGAGGCGGCCCCAGCGAGGCTGGGACAGCCCTGGTGGGGGTGGGATGGCCCCAGTGGGGTAGAGACGCCCCAGTGAAGTTGAAACACCCCTGGTGAGGCTGAAACGGCCCTGGTGAGGCAGAAATGGCCCCGGTGAAGTTTAATCGGCCCCATTGAGGTTGCAGTGGCCCCGGTGAGGTTGCAACTGCCCCAGTGAGGTTGAATCGGCCCCAGTGAGGCTGAAACAGCTGCGGTGAGGCTGATACAGCCCTGTTGAGGTTGAGACGGCCCCGGTGGGGTTGCAACGGCCCCGGTAGGGTTGCAACAGCCCCGGTGAGGTTGAGACGGCCTTGGTGAGGTTGAGACGGCCTTGGTGAGGCTGAGATGGCCCCGGTGAGGCTGGGACGGCCCCGGTGAGGTTGAGACGGCCCCAGTGAGGTATGAGTGTATGCCAGTGGTTCTCGACCTTGGCTGCACATTAGAATCACCTGGGAATCTTTTTAAAATCTTGATTTCTTGGCCTCATCCTCCAGAAATTCTGTTTCTTTGTTACTAATGTTGTGGCCTCACCCCATAACAAAGAAACAGAATTTCCGGAGGATGAGGCCCAGAAATCAGGATTTTAAAAAGATTCCCAGGTGATTCTAATGTGCAGCCAAGGTTGAGAACCACTGGGCTAAGTGATAGATACTGAGGGAGGTGCAGCAAGTTCTGCCAAAACGAAGCTTAATAGAGTTCAGGTGCATGTAATTGAGTAGATTCAAAACCCACAAGAACATTGTAAACATCTTGACCATGCTATTACTTTGCCTCATGGAATCTGGTTATAAAATAAAGACTCGGCTTGCAGGCTGTGGCACTGTCTCTCCATCTGAAATCAGCATCCCACCGAGCCCCAGCTTTATTCTCTTGTCTGTCTTCTTTAATCCTTCACCACCCCCCCAACAGGTTCACCCCTGAACAAAAATCAGCAAAGAAACAGCAATCTTAAATGACTCACTAGATCAGATGGAACTAATTGATATCTTCAGAATATTTGACCCCAAAGCTACAGATTATACATTTTTCTCAAGTGCACAGGGGACACTTTCAAAGATAGACCACATATTAGAACACAGGAAAAGTCTCTTCAAATTCAAGAAGATTGAAATCATATCAAGCATCTTCTCAGATCATAATGGCATACAACTGCAAAAAAAACCAATAAAAATAAGTCAATGACTTGAAGACTATATAGCATGGAATTAAACAATAACTGGGTTACCAAAGAGATCAAAGAAGAAATAAAAAGCATCCTGGAAACAAATGACAATAAAAACACAACAATCCAAAATCTATGGGACACAGTCAAAGCAGTCCTGAGATGGAAGTTCATAGCTCTATAGGCCTACCTCAAAAAAATAAGAAAAGGATGACAGCTGTGCCTAACTGGTTGAGTGTCAACCTATGAAGCAAGAGGTCACAGTAAGATTCCTGGTCAGGCCATATGCCCTGGCTGAGGGCTTGACCCCAGTGTGGGTTGTGCTGGAAGTGGCCAATCAGTGATTCTCTCTCATCATTGATGTTTCTATCTTTCCCTCTTCCTTCCTTTCGGAAGTCAATAAAAGTATATAAATAAGAAAAAATGGTAATAAATTATCTAACCCTACCACATAAAGAATTAGAAAGAGAGCCAAAAGTAAAGCCTAGAGTTAGCAGAAGGAAGGAAATAATAAAGATCAGAGTGAAAATAAATGACTTAGAGAAAAAAAACATACAAAAGATGATTAAAACTAAGAGCTGGCTCTTTGAAATGATAAACACAATTGATGAACTTCTAGCCAGGCTCACCAAGAAACAAAGAAAGAGGACCCAAATAAACAAAATTAAAAGTGAAAGAGGTGTAGTAACAACCTACACAATAGACATACAAACGATTGTAAAACAATACTACAAAAAACTCTACTCCAACAAACGGGACAACCTAGCCAAAATGGACATATTCCTAGAAAAATACATTCCTTCAGAACTCCATCAGGAACAATAAAAAAACCTGAATAGGCTGATAACTACTGATGAAATTGAAGCAGTAATAATAATAATAATAAACTTCCAGCAAACAAAAGGCCTAGTCTGGATTGGCTACACAGGGGAGTTTTACCAAACATTAGGAGTAGAAATAAAACCTATAAATCTAAGACTATTCCAAAAAATTCAAGAGGTAGGCATACTTCCAAGCTCTTTTGATGAAGCCAGCATTACCCTAATCCCAAAACCAAATAAATACACTACAAAGAAAGAGAATTACAGGCCAACATCCTTGATGAACAAAGATGCTAAAATCATCAACAAAATTCTAGAAAATCAGATCCAGCATTACATTAGAAAGATCATACACCATGACCAAGTGGAATTTATCCCTGGGATGCAAGGCTGGTACAATATCGGCAAATCAATAAACGTGATACATCACGTAAAAAAATTGGGAGATAAAAATCACATAATCGTATCAATAAGGCAGCAAAAGCATTTGACAAAATACAACACCCTTTCTTGAGAAAAACTCTCAGCAAAGTGGGAATAGAGGGATCATACCTCAACATAATAAAAGCCTTATAATTCAAACCCACAGCAAAAGAGACAGAACCTAGAGACAGAACCTAGAGACAGAACCTAGAGACAGAACCTAGAGACAGAACCTAGAGACAGAACCTAGAGACAGAACCTAGAGACAGAACCTAGAGACAGAACCTAGAGACAGAACCTAGAGACAGAACCTAGAGACAGAACCTAGAGACAGAACCTAGAGACAGAACCTAGTGAGAGAACATGGCAAAAGATCCTGGACAGAACCTGATTACAGAACTTGGCTGGAGAACCTAGACAGAAACTGGCTGGAGAACCTGGCTAGAACCTGGCGACTGAACCTGGCAAGAGAACCTAGACGAACTTGGCTGGAGATCCTGGAGGGAGAACCTCGCTATGCTGATCAACTGAATGCTGTCTCCGTGTCCTTCAGTCTTCGCTGACTCCATCCACACCTTTGGGAACCCCTGGACCTGCTGGGGTTGGACCCTAGCATAGAGCAAACTTGGTCTGTCCTTGCAGCAGAGTAGCTGGTTTCCCCAGAGCAAGTGATTCAAGAGAGCAAGATGGAGACCATATCCTTTATAACTGAGCTCCAGAAGTCACACACCACCATTTCCACAACATCCGATTGCTTAGACCAGTAGTTCTCAACCTTCCTTTAATACAGTTCCTCATGTTGTGGTGACCCCCAATTTCATTGTTACAAATTGAGAACATAATTAGCATAGTGATTAATCACAAAAAAAAAGAAGAAGAAATAAAAGGCATCCAAATTGGAAAGGAGGAAATAAAATGTCATTATTCCCAGGTGACATGATATTGTACATAGAAAAAAAAAACACACACACCATCAAAAACTATAAGATTTAATAAATGAATTCTGCAATGTAGCAGGATTCAAAAGTAACAGCAGAAATCTATGGATTTTTTATATACACCAATAATTACCTTACAGAAAGAGAAATTAAAAAAGCAATCCTATTTACCATTACAACAAAATATTTAGAAATATAAGAATAAACTTAACTAAGGAGGTAAAAGACCTGTATTCAGAAAACTTCAGGACACTGAAAAATGAAAAAGAGGAAGACATAAACAAATGAAAGAATATACTGTGTTCATGGATTGGTAGAATCAACAGCATTAAGATGTCCATAATACCCAAAGCAATCTATAGATCTAATGCAATCCCCATTAAAATACCAATGGCATATTTCACAGATATAGAAAAACTCTCGCAAAATTCAGATGAAATAAAAATAAAAGACCCGAATAGCCACAGCAATTCTGAGAAAGAACAAAGTTGGAAGGATCACAATACCAGATATAAAGCTAGATTACAAAGCCACTGTTCTCAAAACTGCTTGG